TATATATATATATATATATATATATATATATATATATATATATATATATATATATATATATATATATATATATATATATATATATATATATATAAAGTGTTTTCTCTCTCAAGCTCTCTCCTAGGCTAGGGTTACGCCGACCACCGCTATGGCGGTCCGGCTACTGCCCCATGGTGTCTGGATACATCTTGGTCAACTTATATTTCATCAACCTATCAATTATGAAGATCTTCCTGAATATTGCCCCTCCTGTAAATCTTTTGGACATAAAAACTGCAAGAAGGCCACAAAATCCTCTAGATGGGTGTTGAAGGACACGCCAGGGACTGGGAATACAGCTCCTGCTGTAGCCATCCCTCCGTTGCAAACGGTGGACACCACTTTGAGACTTGTGGCAAAACAACTTGATGGTTAAAATCAGGATGGTCCAGATGAAAATGCTTCCATTGCTGTAGAAACAAATACTTCTGCCCAGGCTGAAATAAATCTGTTTCAATCTGATCCAAAACATGAGGCTAAGGAACTGGAACAGATACTAGAACCTGGAGTTGAAGCCTTTGTTTTTGAACATGAGGCACAATCTCCTATTGACTCGGATATAAATTTGGAAAGAGTTGAAGCTTTGGCAACCACCATTGTTAATGGTAGGAATGCTAAGGTTCTTAAGCCAGCTGACAGTGCTGAAGACAAAGCAGTGATGATGGTAGAGATTGAACAAATCAGTGTTGGTGAGGATGCTTTGGAGAACAACCAAACTCCAACTAACACCGACCCTAATTCCGAGATTGAACAAAGCTGTGAGGCACACAAACTGTCTCCCAAGACAGATTTGGAAGGCACACAGTACGAAGAGGAATTCCCTCTCCTCTCTAAAGAGTCCTTAACTGCAACCACGGATGATTTTCCAGCCCAAAAATTTAACAGTGATGCACACACTCTTTCCTTCGAGAAAAAGATGGATGGCACACTATCCCCTACTATCATTGGAGATGATGAAACTATTTCTGATCCTTCTCTTAGAAAAAAAATTTTCCCACCAGTAACTAACATTGCAGGTAATGACCAAACTACTATTGGCCCTACTCTTCACTCTTTTGAGGTGGATGGACAGCACTATGAAATCAGTCCTATGAAGAAGCGGAGACAAGCAACCTAAGGGAGGAACCTAACGACTTCCAAGATGTCCAGAACAAACGCAACAAAAAAGCGGGGAAGAGGGGAACTGCACCAAGGACGATTAAAACTAGAAGCTACGATCCAAATCTTGAAGTTGGAACAGTAAGCGAGATCACTAGATACTGGCCCAGCCACAAATCAACCACAATGGAGAAAATCGTCACTACCAAAAGTTATTCTGGGCCCTTTTGGTATGTTGGACCTGTCGGCCCAATTGGGGCAGATGGGAAAAGGCCAAAGAAAATAATGCCCAGAAACCTTGCCTTGGATCAACACCCGGGTTTTATAATTTGGGAATGTCTGTAGTTCTTTCGATTCACTTTTCATTCAGTTTTTTTTCCATGCATTTCTAAGAGGGGCATTGGCCTAGTCCTCCCCTCATTTGTACCTTTTCTTTTCTTTTTTTCTTATTTGAATAAAAATTTTGTTTAATATATATATATATATATATATATATATATATATATATATATCATATAAAAACATTATTAAATAATCACATATATTATAAAATGACTTAAAACTTAATTATAAAAGATAAAAAGAACTAATGAGCTCTCTGACATTTTTATTCATTCTGCACAAGTCATATACATTCATTTTTTGTTTCAATTTTTGTAAGATGTTTAATTTATATAATATATTTTACGTGATAGTATACGAGCCCGTGCGAAGCACGGGTAGAAATACTAATATCCTTTACTATAAAAAGTTTGAGAGTTTAATTTTCTATTTTAATGACACTTAACTACGACTTAATTCCCAATGAGTAATGGGAACACTCCCAATCAGGATTTTTTTTGGGTTTTGTGGCCTCTCTTATACTCCCTCCGTCCACCTAAGATATTTCTATTGCGTGTTACGAGGCTTGACCGACTTTGCTTTTAATTCAATTTAATTGATTATAGTAGTAAGATTATATAATAAAATTTATATCGTAATAAACTACATGAAAAGTTCTTCAAAAATATAGGTGACAAGACTATGAGTATTATTTTATAAAATGACTAGTAAAAAAAGTTAACAAATTGAGTGAAGTTTGACCCGGTAAATAGTGTCCGGGAAAATCTATGGCGGAGTGAGGAAGTATATATATACGAATATACCCTTGTCTTTATGAATTATCAATCACGTAATTTCATTATCATTTTGAGGTTAGAAAATGCATGCAAGCACAATATATCCTATACTGTATGTAATAATAAAAAATTTAATTTAACTATCAAATCACATCTAACACTAAAAAAATTACAGCCACTCAATACTCACATAGCATTAAAAAAATTTATAACCATTCAAATTTCACTTTAAAGTAAAAAAAAAATCTTGCACCCTCAAACTCTACCTAACAATAAAAAAATAACTCAATCATCAAATCTTACCTAACACTGAAAAAAATCTACAACGACTTAATTCTCACCTAACACTAAAAAAAATCTATGACAATTCAAATCTCAGTTAAAAGTAAAAAAATCATGCACCCTCAAACCCCACCTAAGAATAAAAAATAACTCAACCAACAAATCTTACCTAACACAGGAAAAAAAATCTACAATCACCCAATTCTACCTAACACTAAAAAAACCTACAACCATTCAAATCTCACTTAAAAGTAAAAAAATCATGCACCCTTAATAATATATTTTATTAAAAAAAGATTATGTATTTAAAAACTAAATAATACTCCATATATTTTATAAAATAAGAGGTGAGAAGAATATTTTATTTTATTAAATTACATTATTATTATTATTATTATTAAAAGACTAATGATGGCTAAAGGGGTAAAATGGGTAAACATCACACCATTCCTACACACTCAAACCCTACCCAAGAATAAAAAAATTAACTTAACCATCAAATCTCACTTAACATCCAGAAAAAAATCCACAACCACTTCAAGTTGACAATGTTTGACTTCAAGAGTTAGTCATAATGGTGTCATATCGTCAAAAAAGAATAGAGAAAATGACCAAATTAGGAGTAAATTAAAACATATGTCATGTATTCAAAATAGGAGTTCAAAACTCCGATCCTCTAAATAGGAGTATTTGACTTAATTCATCTAAACATCTCCCTAGCTCCTTTCTTGTGATCATGTACGTGCAGGGCATTGCTTTTTTTCCTGATCAAGCAGTCTCTCCTCTTTACTACGGAGTACATACTTATTCCCCTTTAATTTTCTTTTTCTTTTTCCTTTTTTCACTAAAAACAAATGTAAAAAAAAGTTGATGCACAACTCGTCGCGGGACAGTGTTGCTTTCTCCTCGTCTGCACAATGAGTCTCCTAGAGCCACCTCTATTTGTTGCTAATTCACGAAGTCAAGGGGCCTAGTTCGGAGATACGGCCAATATAATGCTGGACGCCGACACTAGTTGGTGATAGAAGCCGGTGTTGGTCTGCACTGAAAAAAAGCTTGTGAGATTGGGCGGCTGCCTTCGTACTAGTGCTAGGTCGAACAAGGAGTGGGCTACCATTGTTGATTTTTCACCGTCTCTGCCGACATCTCTGATCTCTACCACTTTCACCAACATCACCACTAGTTGACATCACAATGCCAGGTTAACTGCCAAATAAAGTGCCAAAAAAATAGTGTCAAACATTGTACCACATAATGTCACCAATGACAATATATGATGCCATATATGTCCATATGTAATGTCATATATGGCAATTTATAGTGTCAGACAAAGTAAAATTGGACATGAATCATATAATTGTAGTTTGAAAGCTTTATTAAATTGATATAAACATCAATTATCAGAACGTGTTTGTATACTAAATTGGTTTTAAAAAGTACATCGTTTCTTCGTGGGATCAACCCTTACTTGCCCTAGCTATAGTTTTTATTTGATTATATATTGGGGATTAGACAAGGTTATTATAAATTTTTAATTTGTTTTGGACCGCACGACAAGTCTTCGACAAATACCTTCAGATTTTAAATGATTTTATAAAATCTTAATTGAATACCCATTGACTTTGAAAATCCTAAAAAATCCTACAAATTCTTTAATGAATACACCCCCTAATATTATATTATAGATATATATCAATTAGGAACACCAATTAAAATGAACTTATTACACATAAATTTAATAATTTTTTCAAGGCTATTAATGGAAAATAATAATTCTAAAATGGAAAATATTGATTTTAAAATGAAGCATAATTTTTATTTGAATTAGAATCTTTTAAACTATATACGAAAAATATTTAATGTTCTATTAAATAAACATGCCATTAAAAATTCCTTTCTATTTATATATTTGTTTTTATTTTTACGAAATTGGTAACTAATGTTTAAAATATATTAGTTCATACAAAGATTAATAATAATAATAATAATCTTATAATTATTATTAGTATTACTATTGTTATTAGTATTATTACTATTATTTTAGTTATCATTATTATTAATATTATTATCAATGTCTTTTAGGGACCAACCTTAAATCTTTTTTTTTGTAGTCAAATTTTTAGTGGGTTTTATTTTTTTCATTTTAATACACATAAAAAAGGGATTTTGGACCAAACCTTTTATTTTTAAAAAGCTATCATGTATAAAAATTAATTAATCAATTTATAACTCATGCGTAAAAGAGTTTGAATAAAAGTTGTACTTCTCCTTAAAATATATACTAGTTTTTTGACCCGTGCAACGCACGAGGTCAAAAAAATTTTTTTGTCGATTCTAAATTTTTTTCTATGCAATATTTATTCAGTAATCAAATAAATATATTTCTCAGACGATTTTTAATATATTAGACAACAACACAGAGTAAAATAAATAATATTTGAGGAATTGGAAGTATACTCGACAAAGTCAATTTTAATTCCTGCTTTTTGAAAGACTTCAAGGTATACAACATATTTGGTATGATTGCAAGAGATTTTTGTTATCTAGAACCAATATTTTTAATCATGTCGTTATCTTCACTCGTGAAACGACAACATACAACTGGTCATGAGTGAATAAAGTTGGTCATGAGTGAATATCGACTTGGTTCAAAATAATCCAATAAAAGATAATGTTTGACCTTGGCTTTTGTTAATAGTCATATCAAAATATAAGATTATTGGATTTGTCTTCTCTGAAATTTTAAGGGTAGTCATGAATCAGATGGTACCAAATTCATTCGGGGTATGTAAACCTTTTCCTGACTCGATTTCCCGAAACCACAATTGCATCGATAAAGTTCTTTTGCATCTCTTTAACTATTACACAATCCAGATGTTTGGTCAATGTTTCTCAATAACATAATTCGTACCCCTTTTTTAAAACTTATTTTTGGTTTGGGATTCCGGAACATTTGATTTAATTCAAACACTCAAATGTTAATCAATCATCATCAACACCTATATATGAATCTGTCCGACATTAAGAATCAGAACATAAGTACTCATTTTCATCTTCAGCGATGAGATATAAGACAAATTCATTTAGTATCTTTCTTCGAGCATGGTGCCAATATTCAAAAATAATATTTTTGCATATTCTCTAATATGTTCAGAGAAATGAAGTCCATTATACTCTTGAGGGGATAATTTTTGTCAAGAATCAAGAATTCGGGCAATATTTCAACATCAGCAGTTCTATCAATTATTTTTTCATTTATAACTTTTTTGTCTTTTAATATACGTAGTATACATTTTTATTTATTTAAACATGTTTAAAAATCAATTTCATAATTTTATGTTTTCTATTTGAAGAAGAAAAGTATTTAAATATCATTTATCCTTCTCTTTCAAATAAATTTCAACCCCAGACACTTTAATTTTTACATCAATTTAACAGTTGTTTTTATTTTTGCTGAATCCAAATTGTTAGTGATTTTTCTAAGAGCGTAGAAGTATGTGAAAAATAAAAGAAATCTCCTTGATAGGAGTAAAAAAGTTTGAAAATACAAAAATAAGAGTCTTATGTGTTTTAAGACCAAAATAGGAGTATAATGAAAATATAGTGTAAGAATACGCGTTGGCAGTGTAATAGAAAAGTGATGACAATATGGCGGTGATAGTGTAGCAGTTAGAATGTGACAGTGTGGTGAGTGTGACTGCAACAATGGCAGTGTGAACTCCTATTTTAGTATTAAAAAATCTATGACTCAAAAATGCTAAAATTTAACGTGTGCATTAATGCCTTTTATATATTTTTCTTTTTAATATAAATAAGACATGTGTTATATACTTAAAAATGCATTATTTTTTTCATTTATAATTTTTTTCCCTTCTAATATATGTACTATTAAATTTTAGCACATAAATAATAAACATTTTTATACATTTTATCCATTCATAGTTTTTATAATAATTTCCAAATTCTATGTATTTTCCATAAATAAAGCGCATATCATTTAAGAAATTTTAAACTTAATTTGGTTCAAATCAAACACATCCAACTATCAACGACATTTATAAAACTTGTAGCATTTATGTTTTTTCTTATTTTTGTGTTTTTACCCATTCCAATGGGTGATTTCATACTGTTAGACTTCCAAGTTTTTAAAAATTTTTTTGAAGATTTTTTTGTTTTTTATATGCTGGAATATATGACATGACCAATTATATGGGAGGTATTACAATTCATGTGGTCATTGCAAAAGGCTGTAGTGGTACAAACTCATGATGAATAAAATATAATTTACCCAACTCATTATTTAATACATACACTTCATCAACTTAAAGTAGTGCTTGAAAACAAAATAGTACGTATTATCTATTAGATCGCACATAAATATTCACGTAACACTTTATGACCATCCACGTAAAACCAAACACTAAAAAACCCTTACTCGAGTAATGCTTCACCAAGTTTGAAGTGAAAACACCAACAATGACCAGCCATTAATTGTTCTTTTTTTGCTTCATATACTCACTAACAGTCTTATCACAAAGAGTAAGCCTGGGCATAGTTTTTCAAAATAGTCAAATTTGGGGAAGAAGATATCAGAACAATCACTGCTGCAATACTTTCCAAGTGTTGTGACATGAGGGGAACAAAAGAAAAAAGGGAATAAAGAGTAAAAGCCTATGTGTTAAGTATGTGGTATTAAACTAAAAATCTAACACCACTGTCATTTTACACAAATAATGATGAGTTGGTTGCTTCAGGTGTGCTAGACACGGAATCACATTTCTATGGTATCAAAACGTTTATTATAATGAAATACGACAGTCATACACTACATTGTGCGGTGAAAGATGTGGGGTAAAAAAAAGTAGGAACCCAAACGGAATGTGTATTACCGGGGAGTTTCCTAATTCCTACAAAATATTTCAGAATATAGTTTCTCTTATTGTTGGTTGGATAGATTAGAATTTTATCTACCATTCAACATTTTTGTGCAGAAGGATTAGCTTGGTATTTGTTAGATCATTACTAATAACTTTTTATCTGAATATAACTATTATATTTTTCAAGACTATTTCTCTTCTCAGGCACAACTCTAATGGCTATTTTTACAGATTACTCAACATTTCTGTAAGGGACTTGAAATTGAATAATGGAAAAAATCAAAATCGGGAAAAAATGTTAGCATTAGAATTGAAAAAAAATATTTGGAGATCAAAATAGAGACTTGAGACTCGAAATGCGTGAAAAAATATATTGGCATCAATAGAAATTCCGAATTCAAATGAATCAATATATGAATTTAATAAAAATTTTTGGATTACAATCGAGCCAAAAATCTGGGAATAAGATCGGGAATAATTGGGATATCCAGAACAGAGATTAAAGAGCTAGCAGCGATGTAAAATTAATTCCTCTGGATTCTTGAATAATTGATGCATATGATTTTTGGAAACATACCTATGGAAAGTCAACTGTGTCTTTGAAGGCCTTATGATTCAACAACAAAGTTGTGATGTCTTGGAAAATTAAATTATCCCTGCAACAAATTTTAACAACATGAATTTGCATCAGTTCATCCCTATAACTGACACAAAACCTAAAGAATGGAAAACCAAAATCAAGAAACTAAAGAAAATCAAGATATTAAAGAAAATCAAGAAAGAGTATTGGAGATGGATAATAAGAGATGGGGTGACCTGGTTTAGGGAAGTGAGGAAAGTCTCCAAACTTTCCTTCCTTCTTCGCCGAATTGCAGAAAGGAAAGAATTTCCTTCTTCGCCGAATTGCAGAAAGGAAAGAAATTGGCGTGAAGAATACGTGAAGAATCCGGGAAGAATCAGCAGATTTCCTTTCCTTTCGCGGCGAAGATGTATCGCGAAGAATCAGCGGGTTTTGGCGAAGAAGATTTAGCCGATAAAAAAATCAGTCCATCGCGCAGGCCAACAATCGGACACTGAGAAGGCGTATCGCAGTACCTGCGATTTCTTTCCTTCCATGATCCACAGATTTCTTTCCTTCCGGGCGAAGATGTTGGGCGAGAGAAAGAACGGGTACTGGAAGGAACTTCTCCTAAAATTGGACGCGTGTCATCTCACGTGTCATCAAATTAAGAATCTAAATTTGCCACGTGTCAAAATTCTAGACTATCAATTCTCAAATATTATATTAAAGGAATAGTGCACTATTTTTAATGATAGAAATTATATATATATATATATATGTATGTATGTATGTATATATATGTATGTATGTATGTATATATCTATATACATACATACATACATACATACATATATATACATACATACATATATATATATATATAATATATATATATGTATGTATGTATATATATGTATGTATGTATAAGGGTTTTGAAGTTGAGATGACTCAACCTCTTATGTCAAAGCCATAGAAGGTTATTTTTTCTATTACGGAGTATTTCTAATAACCATTATATACATTAATCCATATGCATCTTTATTAACTAAATTGTTTGATTCAAAGTTTAGTATAAACTTTATCACATATGCATCTTTATTAGCTATATAATTTATTTTAGAACTTTTCATCATACGTTATTATATATGTGTCTCTATACACCAATATAGTTCGATTAAAAATAAGTTGTTTCTTTCAACTCTTATGTAGATTTTATGTTTTTATAAAACTATTTATGCTTTTGTATAATTATTTTAAAAAATAAAATGTTAATTTTGTTTATAAAAAATTAGTAAAATGACACCTTTATTCCAGGTGTCATATACAATGCTACCCACGCATATAAAATAAGTGATCAATATGTTTATAAACCTTTCACTTGCTATATTTTTGTATTTTACATGAATATTAAACTTGATACTAAAAATCATTATTTTTCATTTTATTTTTTTTATATAAAATCTTACTAATTCCTAACTAAAATAATCATTCTTTTTTATTATATTTTCATTATTATAACCCATATTTTTAATACAAAGCATTAAATCATTATTTAAAAATGTTATAATTAAATATTTTATAATTTTTAAAAATAAAATTACTTATAAATTTTTGAACCTATACACCATTTATTTCATTACGTTTATATACATGTGTACTCTCATTCTTTTTAAATATGTATTTCCATTTTAATTTAATCAATGGTTTTAAAAAAAACTACATTATTTATGTTATTTATTTTTGTATGAAATGAAATTTAAAGAGTTTTTTTGTAAAGGAAAATGTCTTATGCATGTGTTCTATACAACACTTGTGATGCCACACATGCACATTAAAATTTAAGTGTGACTTTTGACTAAATTAATGAAAAATATAATATAAACTTAGTTGTACATTGATTACACTATTTGAAAGATAAAATGAAATGGAAGAAAACAAACCTTGGTTTCAAAATAATTATGTCTATTACTTGATGAATATTAATTATATTAGCCAAGTATATTAAATTTAGACTCTTAAGTAACAAATTAAGTCAAAATACTATACAAAAATGTTGAATTTAATAGTGTAAATTTTATATTTCTCAAAAATATTTGAAATCTGAAATTGTAGAATTTGAACCTGTAAGGATGAGCAATAGAAAATAAAACTCTTCATCTTCCCCTCTCCTCTAATTTACACGTCATAACCATGTCCGCACTTAGCACAATCATTATGATGGTTATAATAATAACAACAATAATAATCACATATGTAATATATATATATATATATATATATATATATATATATATATATATTTGCCAGTCTAAAGTCTCATCATCAACTGTAACAATCAACTGTAACAATTCTTCAAAACTTAGAACAGAAAAAACTGATAAAGAAAGCGCAAAGTTCAAAATAACAATAAGGAGGGTTGGGGGGGTACATGACAAGGAATTTCATGATTTAGGCAGCAATGGAGGGCTTAGAAGTAGCAGTGGAGAGTCTGGACCTCTTCTTGGCTAAACTCTCTCTTTGCTCCTTCAACCTGCTAGCAAGCAGCTTCTGGTACTCCTGAGCTTCTGCCTTGGCCTTGACAACCCTCTGCTTCTTCTCAGCAATTCTAGCTCTCTTCCTCTGAAGAGTCAATGGAGTCACCAGTCTCTGTATTTTTGGGGCTTTGCTCACCTCCTTACCCTTTTATTAGTGAATGTCCGGCGGTATGTGTTGACATACTTCCTCACATCATCATCCTTGGAGAGGTTGAAGAGCTTCCTAATCTTTGAGGCCCTCTTAGGACCCCTCATCCTTGTCTTCTCCACATCAGTGAGGCCAGGAAGCTCATTTTCACCCTTCTTCACAATGACTAAATTCAGAACAGAAAGGTCCTGGCTGACAATGCACCCACGCACTAACTTCCTTCTGCGCTCTCCGTTACGCCTTCCATACCCTCTAAAGCAAGGAGTACCTCTATGAAGTAAGAGACGAACACGTCCTGGAGTCAAAACTCCCTGCTTCATGGGAAATCCCTGCTTGTCACAGCCACCCATGATCTTGAACACATAACCTTTAAACTCCTCGCCCAAAGCATCTCCATATATATATATATATATATATATACATACATACATACATACATACATACATACATACATACATACATACATACATATATATGTGTGTGTGTGTGTGTGCGCGCGCGCGTGTGTGTGACTTTTCTCTATTTGTTTATAGACTTAATGCACCCCAGCAATTGGTTGTTGGGTTAGGTTCTGGGTAGGGATTTTGTTACTTACTTTGGGGATTGGGCCTGATTTTTGGTTTTGGGTTAGGTTCTAGGTTGACTTTTAACTTTAGTGTTTGACAATCAAATTTGCGTTAGGTTTGCGGTACAATCCATTGGATTTTAATTTTTAGGTCAGACTCTAGGTCGTGTTTTGAGTTAAGGCAATTGCGTTTTACTGTCTTGTTTTTTGTTGTGGTTCTAAATACTATCAAATGGTATGAGCAGCAGGACAGGTTTACTTCAACAACAGACAACATAGTATACAACGAAATCCTACAAAACATTGACATAAACGGTAATAAAATGCACATTCACCATTTTAAACAATTTAAGAAACACAAAAAAAAACACGAAATACTCCACAACACCATTAACGCTTCCCTATTGCAGGTACTCTTGCTGGACAGGACCGCTGGACGCAAACTAAACCAATCATGAACTTTATCATCATATTAGTGAGTTGAACTTTCTTGTTTTACTAGATTGAGTGATATGCTACGAAAAAAATTAGGTTTGTTACTTTTTCCCAAATTTCAAACTTTTTTCCCAATTATTGATGGATACATCGCATTTGATATCTCCCTTGCATGATGGATGGATGCACCAAATCTGATATCTCTCGTGCATGGTTGATGGATACACTAAATTTCATATCTTTGCTGTGTGTATCAATCTAACCTCTGTTGTTTGTTCGTAGTCTTCGCATTCTAAGGCTGAGATTAGCTAGGCAAGGTTGACCAAAGAGGTTTGAAAATTTCATGCAGTAAGGTATGCATACTCCCATCCCCCGACCCCGTTTGTGTGATTTTACTGGTATGGTGTTCTTGTTATTAAACTCGGTCTATCTTTTGTTTTTTGGGGCCTCAAATCATCAATCTGGTTTTGAATTCATCGTGGTTAAGAAAACAGCAGTAGGCTTCATATTCTTGGCTGTGTGCCTGTCCATTTTGGATATTTACATACTCTCTAAAGGCTGGTCTTCAAAACCAAGAGACTAAAGTTTGAATCTTTGTTTTGTAGTGATGTTTATGTTTGCTTATACTCCCAAAAAAACTTTCTTTTTTCGTTTGTCCTAAAATAAAGTTCCCATTCTATTAAAGGAAAGCATTGACTAGACATTGTTTTTCTCTTCTCTGCGTACATTTTCACTTTTTTTTCAACTTCTGTTAAACTCCGTGAAAAAACTGCAAAGTTTAATATGGTTCAATGGGAGTGTTTCGATATATGTTTCACTTTCACACCTGTTCAGTCTCAAATTAACTAAAGAAATGATGTTCATCCTATTTGCAGAGAGTGTGGACTTGAAGTGCAAGCTGTAGGGATATGGCTTTCAGGGTAGCCACACCAAGGAGCTGCTGGGACAACGGAAAAAGTGTAGGACCCACATCCGGCTTCCATAACTTTGCTCACGCCATTGCACAACCAATTCCATTGGACATCATCATCTTCGGCAATCCCATAGCGCCAATAAAGGCCCAGTCTGCAAATCAGGAAATGATTGAAGGGAACATTGCTTACAGATTCCAAGATATCACTTTCTTCAATGGGTCTATGGGTCGTCCCTAAAAAGAAGCTTCATCCTCTAACAACTTCCTTAACATGACAATTAATTTTGAACACGCTGAAAGTACCATTACATAACCTTTTCAAATTGCTAAAGCAGGTTACTCGTCACAAGAGTTACTCCAAAGCTATTGCCAATGAATCGCAGGTTACTCGTCACAAGAGGGGGGATACGAAATGGACCAAAGGCATTGAAACCTCAACCTCTGATAATCCGCTGCACGTAAGTACTTTCAATATCTCATTGCACCCAAAGATCAATGCCCCCTGCCATAAAAAAGAACGACAATCCCAGTAAAACCCCACGAAAGAAGGGTTTGGATCATAGTCACATAAATCGCGGTACGCTTCGGTACGGGTACGCGGTACGGGTACGAAATTCGCTAGATATAACGAATTCGGTACGAAGAGGGGTAGGTTCATTTCGGTACGAAGTGGTACGAAGCGGTACGGTGTACCATGTATTCGGTACGGTGTACCAAAAGTCAAAACATAAGTAAACAAAAATACTGGATATTGAGGACTTTAGATTGGGTTGTGGTTACTGGTTAGACTTGAGACACACACACACACACACACACACATATATATATATATACATACATACATACATATATATATACATACATATATATATATATACATACATATATATATATATATACATACATATATATACATACATACATATATATATACATATATATCTATACATATATATATATATATATATACATATATATATATATGCATATATATATACATATATATATATATATATACATATATATATATATATACATATATATATATACATACATATATATATATATACATATATATATATATATATATATACATATATATATATATATACATATATACATATATATATATATATACATATATATATACATATACATATATATATATATATATACATATATATATATATATATATACATATATATATATATATACATATATATAAATATACATATACATATATATATATATATATATATATATATATATATATATATATATATATGGGTGAGTTCTTGTGAGAAAAAGAACCTTGGTGAAAGAAATAAGAATAAATCTCAGGCTTAGGATTGAATGCATCGTGCGGCCATAAATTGATTGGGATGGGGTCTAACCGTGTGTGATATATTTGGGAAGTAATAATTGCAATGCATTTAATTAGGATTAAATTGGTTAAGAGGGGTATATTAGGAATTTGAAATACATAATAAATTTTGGAAATACTCACACTGTCGTACACTCCTATTAATACCTAGACACGTCATACGCTAGGGGTATTATATTATATTATTAATTTCATATCATTTAATATTTTATTGTGCATTATTTTTTATATATAATTTTTTGTACACAGGTCCGTTTTTGACAAATAATATGTCGTTGGAAATATTTCGTTGAGATCTACCCAATGACATTAATATTGAATATAATTCATCCATAATCTAACGCGAATGAACTTTGATGGTTGATATGTGCACTTTGTTTTGTCCTTTAATTTAATTCAAATTTTATTCTATTAATTTTTATTTTTAAAGTGCAGAGTAACTTAACATGCTTCATTATCTAAAGTAAAAATGTATCTTATATTCTCTGTAATGCATATCAATGGTGTATATCATGTATTTTAAGCGTGAACCCAAATTCCTTAGTTTTACACTGAATCCCAAAATATGATGGTTGATATGTGCACTTTGTTTTGTCCGCGAATGAACATTGATAGTTGATATGTGCACTTTGTTTTGTCCTTTAATTTTATTCAAATTTTATTCTATTAATTTTGATTTTTAAAGTGCAAAGTAACAGGATTCATTATCTAAAGTAAAAATGCATCTTATATTCTCTGTAATGCATATCAATGGTGTATATCATGCATTTTAAGCGTGAACCCAAAGTCCTTAGTTTTACACTGAATCCCAAAATGTGTAACCAGAGTGTATATAAATGCAAAGTAAATTTAATGTTGAAAAGATTAAATTGAATAAGATATCACACCATAAAATATCAATTTTTAATTCAGAAAAAATTTAGACTGTAAAATTAGACTTCTTAAGAAATCTATTCATTCACGTTAGGATTCTAATTTTATCAGTAACACACGTAAGAGAAGAAAAAGAGACCTACAAAAAGATTTTTTTGGTACACAACAAATAAATATTAGAATAAAAGAAAAGATTCTTGAGAACAAAACCTAATAAACATAGAGACGAAAAGTGTATACGTTCTCCTCCCACACATTGCATTTCAAGTGAAGAACTAACATGTAAACTTTAGCTACCAAGTAAATGCACAATAACAAAGCCACTATGCATTACACAACAATAGTAATGCACCACGTAAAATTGAGAAGCATCTGGGTAATCTTAAATACTAAACTAAGAAAGAAATTAATACAATTCTCTTCTAATTTAAAATCAATATCTCCAATAAAAAACAATAAACAACATACAATTATAAACGTAAAAATAAACAATCCCATTTTATAATCTGATTGAGTGAAGCAAAACATGACATAAAAAATGCAGCAGCATATTTCGCCTTATACTCAAGTACACCGGGTGTATATCCATCTATTTTCTTCTTATCTTCATAGCCTGATAGCTTAGTCCTCATATTCGTCTCTCGCTTCAATGTCAATATGTGCAACATCTTGTTTAGGACGATTCTTTCAGCAAAATGTTACTTAATCATCCACTTGTATGAACTTGTGTAAGTTCTAGTTTTGACTCTTTGTTGATATTAACACCTGAGCTTCAATCACCAACTCTTTATTGATTCACAAGCACATCTACCACATTTATAATGCATCATAGACACAGAAAAAACAAAAGCATTTACTGAATATCATTGCATTTATAACTACTATTTACATCAACATTTAGAAGTTGTACCTCATGAGATAAAAAGTTAACCACACTATGCATATAGAGCATGAGACTATGCACTAGAGAGATCCTTTAAAGCAACTATGTAAATATGTGGCCTAAACCAAGATCCATTAAGGACAATAT